TAAATGCCTTATGTAAACTGAACCAATGGAAACAGAAGCAACAGAGCCCTTTTTATTTCAGCACCCGCCATATGCAGAGGTGCTTGGGAGGGTGGGTAGCTTGCAGGCGAGGAGAAATAAGCAGACAAAGCCCTACCGTGACCCACACCTACTGACCAGGCATCTGAGCTCAGGACTGTCTCATTTTATAGAGTCTATGCATTTCCATTTCCACACACAGGTAGTTTCATTGCCGCAGGATTATTAAACTCATAATTAGACATCCTTCCTCACACCCCTTGTCCTTCACTAGAATCAGAGAATGCCAGACTGAACCTGGGAAGGCCTAGAGCCGAAACCGGTTTGGCTCAGTGGATAGAGCATCAGCCTGCGGACTGAAGGGTCCCAGGTTCAATTCTGGTCAAGGGCATATACCTTGGTTGCAGGCACATCCCCAGTAGGGGGTGTGCAGGAGACAGCTGATCAATGTTTCTAACTCTCTACCCGTCTCCTTTCCTCTCTGTAAAAAATCAATAAAATATATCTTAAAAAAAAAAAAAAAAAAAAAAAAAAAAAAGAAGAAGGACCTAGAGGCCTGGCGATAGGACTTACTTCCCAAAGTCATTCAAGCCCATAAACAGCAGGGCCAGAATAGAATCATGTTTCAAGTCTCAGGGCAGTGCCCTTTCTCTGCACACTGCCTTAGCTCTGTGTGTAATAGTTCCAGGACTCTTATACCTGCTTTAGTCCTTTCTTAGTAACATGTCAGAACATCCAAGGGCTGACATCATTTGGGTAGTTCTTGTAACTGTAGGACACAAGCACCAAGGTCACAAAGTCATTCTGACACTACTTGCTGTGCCCCTGAAGTGCATCACAAAGTGCACGTCCTTCTCATGGACGGCTTAACAGCACATACTGACTGTATTGCTGTAATACTTTTCCAACAAGCCTGAAGAAAACTGACGTTGCATTTCAGGAGACTGCAATAATGATTTCCTTAGATATTACACAACTAAGGATGCAAGAATCAGAATGCCAAACAGAGGGAAGGTACACAGAACTGGGCTCAATATGCCAGCATATCATCTATCCAGGCCCCATGGGTGCAAGATGAAGACCTATGCCACCAATAAGAATGTGTATTTCCAAATTTCCAGGGGTTTTTTTTGTTCACAACAAGCCTAATAGGTAATAGGAGCAGGTTCACAGGTAGTTTTGACTGCTTCCATAGTTTTCACCATGCCCATTGTAATGCCTGGAAAAGCTGAATAACACAAATACTTACTGAGCACAAACCATGTGCCAGGAACTACAAGAAAATATAATAAATAATTCTTGCGCTTTAAGCTCTTACAATTGGATTGAAGAAACATGACTACATACACAAGCAGAGTGGCTAACCTAGACCCATTTCACAGTCTTTTTCTAAGCTCTAAAATCTGCTCATAAGGTCCCAGAGGGGTAGAAGGACACCTAGAGACCAGCTGACAGCAGGAGACCTATGGGACTGTGTATAGCATAAAGGAGAGAACAAACATGACTTCATGGTACATGGAAACATGAGGCCCATGTAAAGGAACAAATCTTTACAATGCTGCCTGTAGCCTGACAAGCAGACTAATTTTTCTTCCCCAAAAGACTGGAGTTCAATACCCATGTCCTATAAACAGCATCTCAAAACGACGTTTTCCAGAATCGTTTCAGAATCCAGGCAATATACCAACTTCAGGCTTTCTCACCCATTGTTGTGACACATAGATACAGGTCTACAACTTTTTGTTCATTGTGACTAGCATGTCTCATCTTTTCCCAAAGTCATCACCATAGATGTGATTAATCATTCCACTGTTTACATTTTCTTATGAAGAAGCAAATTGCAACCAGCCTTTACAGGAAATGAGGAAAGAGTCCTGTAAGACTGAAATTAAAAAAATCTTCAGAATTCTAGCACTCTTTATCTAAAAATAGTTCGGAGAGTCTGAAATTAAATAGTATGTCATCCATCCCTTTATTGACAATGAAAAACTCTAGTAAAGTGACCAAAATGAACTTTTACTAAAAGTCTAGATTTTATCTCCAACTTACTAAAGAGTTGATTTAAAGTATTATAGATTACTAAGTATGAAATAAGTATGTTTTAATACCTTTCATTAAACACTGCTGGCTGTTTTTCTTGAAGCTTTCATGTAAAACAGAACAGAATATCTGTTACATATTTTTAAAAGTACACATACTTTAAGAAAAATAATAAAATCAAGTTTTTACTTTTCCCTAAAATATAGAATCTAAATTAGGATTAAAATAGAAATATCAACTCCATTCACAAGGAGGAAATTTGATTTTAATAAACAAGCATTAAGTACAAACTAAGAATCTACAACTTTTCTTCTCCCTATTTGAGGACAGAAAACTTGTTTATATAAATGTGGCAGGAGATTCTTATTCACACCATAAAAACTCTTGGAATATCAGCTTTTTTATTTGTGTACATAAATATTTCATACAAACCTTTCTTTACCACTGAACATTAATGCTATAGGGAGAGTACTATCTAGAAATCATTAAAGATTGCCAGGACTGGTGACAGTAATACACTATCCTAGCTTTGACTAGTGGCCCAGGTAGTATTTTCTGTGATTTTTTTTTTTTGCCTTCCAACAAAATGTGTGACCTGTATAAATTTACAGGTATTGAAGTTGAAGAATATAGGTATTATGAGATAAAATAAAAAAATAGCATTGTGGCCTTGGCTGGTGTGCTCAGTTGGTTGAGCATTATCCCATGCACTGAAAGGTCACTGGTTCGATTTCCAGGCGACATGCCCATTTGCAGCTGGGATCCCAAGTAGGGGGCATGTAGGAGGCAGCTAATCTATATTTCTCTCTCATTGGTGTTTCTAATTCTCTCCTGCTCTCCCTTTCTCTCTCTTCTCTTGAAAAAAGAAGAAGAAGAAGAAGAAGAAGAGGAGGAGGAGGAGGAGGAGGAGGAGGAGGAGGAGGAGGAGTCTTTCCCTTGATAGAATAAAAGACTTGAAAGAGAACTGAAAAGGGAATAGCTTTGACCTTCCTCTTTTTAAAAAAAATAAACCCCGAAACAAACAGAAAAACATTGTTAAATATACCACTTTTTCACTTTTTTATCAACAGTAGCAAAAGGACTATCTTCTCTGAAAAAAGATGCCAAGGTCAATATCACTTTTTAAACTTAAATATGGGTTTTTCAGAAACATATTCATTAAACTGAAGCTAATGCATTTAGATTAAAAAAAACTAAAAATAGACAAACAAAAAACCCCACCAAACTCCAAAATGTAAAACAAATCTTCGTGCGGTTAGATTAAACAAAAAAGGTAAGAACTGCTTAGTTTGGAGCATATAGTTTAATTTGATGAGTCAGGAAAGAAAACCCAAGTAAAAACGTAGCTTGCTCTGAAGGTTGAACAAATCATATTAATAATGCCACATTCTCTTTGCTGCCATGATGTTCTACTGCCCAAGTTGAACTATATGATCCATCACATAATGTCATGCACAGAACGGTGGAGTTGTATTGGGGTTAACATAGTCCACATTTCATAGCTGTGACAGTCAACACCAACATAAAGGTAAAATGATGTCCTCTCCACGTACACATTCCCCTTCTGCAATGGTGTGTTTCAGACACAGGCTTACACTGCACAAGGGGGATGTGTAGCGATGTTACACACCCTGTCACATATAGCTCAGAAATGAGGAAGGGACTGGAGAAACCCTGTAAATCCGATCATCCCCATCCATGCCTTCAGATGCCCTCATTAGAAATCCTGTTGGTATAAAAGTATTCTAACTTTTTGAATGTGATTTTAGATGAACTTATACATGCTGATTTTTGTAACAGTGAGATCTTATTCACTATCAAATTCTATTTGGATTGTTTAAAAAATGCAAATGTTTAGCCCTAGCCAGTTTGGCTCAGTGGATAGAATGTCGAGCTATGGACTGAAGGGTCCCAGGTTCAATTCTGGCCAAAGGCACATGCCCAGTTGCGGGCTCTATCCCCAGTAGGGATTATGCAGGAGACAACCAATCAATGCTCCTCTCTCATCATTATTGTTTCTATCTGTACCTTTTCCTTCCTCTCTGAAATCAATAAAAAAATATTTTTTTAAAAATAAAATTTGTTTAGTTTTGATTTTTTGAATAAATGATACACTAATAAGATTAAGGATTTATGTAATTTATGTCCTTTTTCCAACCATCTGTACTGGCACAGTGGTGGTGGTTTCCTAAGACAGGTGGGTAGTGTGCACTCAGATTCAAGAGAAATGCTTGTTGGCTTAAATACAAAACGTGGTCAGTGGGCGCTACAAGTGATCACACTGCCCTTATTGTAATTTAACTGGTGAAGATATAATTGTTAACAATTGTAAAGTCTCCAACATCCTTTTTAGGAAATCTAGCTGTGCTCTTAAACTTTTATATTTTTAGTAGCCATAAATTAATCTGTCCATTTGGCGATACACTGTTAAATAAGCTTTCTTTGGCTTTTGTGCTCTTTTCAAACTCAGTGACCTCAATTTTTTCCACTGTCCCCTCTGCTCCTGGCATGAAAAAGGATAAATACAAATGTCAAAAGGGAAATCCACCCAACAAACAGTAACATTCCCATACCCCCATGGTGTAATTTCCTAACAAGAAAGAACCAAGCTATTTTTGACATTAAGGTTCTATTCCCTTTCTATTATTTAATACTTCCTCTTTGCTTTGGATTTTTATTAGCTTATCAAGACATTCACCAACTTAAATAAAGTCATACGGTTCTTATAAGGCCACTAAAACTTTATAATTTCAGAAAATTATCTTTTCCAGGTTAGTAATATTTGAGGTTGCAAACAGGTGAAAATCAACCATAGTCTCAGGTGATTTTACTCAGGAGAATAAAGCTTAGGCACGAGAAATATCCTGCCAGTCTCAGGATGCTCTGGAAATGACAGTCACTGTCACAGAGAGAAGGTGGTGATGTCAGAAACTTCTGCTTACCCCTTGTTCAGATTCCAAAAGCTCTGTTTTGACTCTGACTGCCGGCATCCCATCAAGCATTAACATTCTGTTTTCAGAGGTGTTGATATTCTGAGAATCAAAAAGAGAGAGAGGGAAATTCAGCTTTAACGCATTCAAAAGAGGACATCTGTTAAAGCCTGCCTTCATGGTATGCACTCAGTACAGCTAACCCAACTTTTTAACAATGAAGCATAATTAAATGAGAATATCAGCACAGCCAATTATCTGCTCATTCTGAACTTTCCTTTGAAATAATGACCAAGAAGTTGAATTAATCAGTCTGATTCTCTGACTTCAGGGTTGGAGGTCAGACTATAATAAACCAGCGTAAGGAAACCTTACATTAATTTATAGGGAGCTGGAGCAATTCATCACACTTTTGCAATAGAGGAAGGAAATAGAAGGCAAGTTTCCTTCTTTATTACTTCTGGAGGTTGTACTGTGTACAAAAAATCCATAAAAGAGAAAATAGATAAAATAATTTACATATTCTCAAATTATTGCCTCAAGTTATTAAAAAACAAACAAAATAATATAGTTATAGACATGTTGAAATTTGGTATTATAGCAATTCTTATCAAATGAACATTTTAACATATCAACAACTCCAAACATCTTTAAAAACAACTAAGATAATAAGTCTTGGATCAAGAGTGAACGTTTAATCTGAAGTCATAACTAAAGAATAATCTGGTTTTTGTTCCACTGTATGTTGGGCTCAATTAGCCATCTCTTGAAAGGAAAACCTTATTTCTATTGCATTCAGTGGAATTTCAAACTCTATTTATAAAAAGATTAAATCAAGGTTATTTTCTACTCATTTTCACTGCTCTTGGGGTTTTCTGAAGTCAATAACCTATGAAGGTAGTCAGAAAGCCTCATATCAGCGTTTGCTAAAGGCCAAAATCAAGGTCATGTTGTAAAACATGTTTAGAAGGCCAACTTTATCCTTGTAGACTGACTAAACTAAAAATTTAAATGCCTAAATTTGAGTTTTTAGAATGATTCTTTTGCTCAATTATAGACTGTAATCATATGACACTAAAATGGTCTTATTAAAAGGAAAAGACAACTGTTTATAAATATTTTACCTACGTGATAGTAAAGGTTAATATTATTTCTAAACCTTAGATTTTTAGACTTTCATATAGTAGTTGCTTTTATATCATGCAGTTAAATAAGAACACCATCCACTTCAATAAACCAAAATATTAAATGTTTTTATTACTAAATAATACCAACGGAGTGCAGTATAGTGAAGCACTAATTATTTCCCTATTTCTTGATTTCTCTTTTTGTTTAAGAAAAATACTCTAAGAAATAAAATGTATAGAGTCTCTTATCCCAAATATTGCTGGGGAAAATCAATAAGAAGGAAAAGCAAATCTATCCCAGAGTTAAGGAATGAACATTTTAAAAAAATCCATGGTACCTACTCTAATAAAAAGAAGAAAATAAAAGACTGCTATATTCTTTTCTTAGAAATGTATACTATTATTAAAATAGGCAGTCTTTTTTTTAATTTTTACTTTTAACTGGTCTGAATTTTTAGGGATTTTACATCCTAATAGATAGCATACAGCAGAAGGAACTTTGGTATCACAGGCTGTCCTCGGGTTACATTGGATTTGACATATGTCATTTTATAGTTACGTCACCATTTCCCGTTTATTTATTAAAAAACAAAAAAGGTCCATCATTTATTTATTAAAAAACAAAAAAGGTCCAAAACTTATGTTTTTTTACTAAAGGCCTGATGCATGAAAATTCATGCACTGGAAAGGGGTGCCCCTCAGCCCGGCTGCCCCCTCTCACAGTCCAGGAGCCCTCAGGGGCAGGAAGCAAACTGGCGACCATGGGAAGGTGATGGTCCCATCACACCTCTGCTGCTGCCACAGCTGGCAGCACAAGCCTCAGCTGGCCCTGGTTACCTGTGCCTTGGATGGCCCTAGGCAGCTGAGCAGCTGCTATTCAAGGTTTGCCTGTGCCTCAGGCCGTCCCTGGGTGGCTGGGCAGCCAACATCTGAGGCTAGCCTGTGCTCCAGCAGCCATCGACAGCTTGCCTGCACCTCAGTCTGACCCTGGGTGGCTGCGGGGCTCAAGGAACTGGAGGACTCGGGAGGAAGGCAGGGCTGAGGGGACTGGGCACCACCATCTTGTGGCTGTGGGCGCTGCCATATTTGAGGATGTGGCAGAAAATTAGCATACTCCCTCTTTATTGGCTGTGGATGGTGCCATCATTGTGAGGGTATGATGGTCAATTAGCATATTCCCTCTTTATTAGATAGGATTATTTATTTCCTATAAGTAAAGGTCAGGCATTGTTATCTTTCTTTTAAATTTTATTTTATAGTTTCACTTCATTACTGCTGTGTATGTGCTTCAAGTGAATGATGTAGGTCCTCATGTAGGTGGGTTCTGATTTATGGCGAAAATCACATTATATTGCGCCATAGGAATGGATCTTTGACATAACCTGAGGACCTACAGTACTGGCAAGCTCAGTTAATTTGTTACAAGCTTAAAATCCATCCATGCGACTGGTGAGCTGTTTGTTCATTAGGCATGGACTTCACATTCTAATGTGCTACTTGCTTTGTGGTTGGAAGCAGCCAACCTGGCTTGCCACCATCTAGTCTCATGAAAGCTTTGCAGCAAAGACCAGCCCTCAACACTCCCCCCCACCCCCATCCCCACCTCCCACCTTGCACAGCAGCCAGGAATCCAAGGTAACAAAGCATCCCCTAAGCTGTTTGGTGGGTAAACACTGAAGGATGAGTTGACATTGCTTTCTATCCTGGAGGAGGTCTTGTCCAGAGGAAAAGGGAAGAAGATGCTTTGCAAAGAAGGGGAAAGACAAAGAGCATCCTAGAAAAGCAGGTTTAATGAACTGTTAGAATCTGATTAGAAGCTAATGTCCCTTTTAGTGCTTTGTACCAATTTACAGCTGATATACTTTAACCATTTTCCTCACTAGCTGTGATAAACTCATTAGTCTAAAAAAATGCAAGCTAACCAGAGTCTTTGAGGTTAAGACTGTTAAATCATGAAAACCTGACTAGGTTCATGATCCATTGAGCACATTTAAATATCACTGTATTTTCATGATGATTTTCTTTTTATTGTTGTTCTCGAATAATTTTACATGTATAAAGACAGGGTATATACTTTAGTTTTATATAAAAGTGAAAAAATAAAACACATTTTCAAAAAATGTTTAAGAAATTAAGTTTCCCCTATAACCATTTTTCTTTCCATCATTGTTCAGATCATGCACAGCCACACCCACAATAAACACCATAAATAACAATGCTCACCCCTAAGGAACCAATTCTTAACTATTAAACTCTTTCAACTAGAGCATATTCAATCTGTATATATCCCTGAGTGTTAACATTGCAAATATATATGAAGAATATTAATCTCTACATTCATGACTCTAACCCTGTTTAGCATAAACATAAGCACTGAGCATCACAACATATTCTAGACCATCCAAAGAGGTATATAGTTTTAATATAGTGCTTGGTAATTATGCAGTATAGAGGATACAGTCCTTGGGAAAAAAATATCAATACATTTATCTCTCTAAGCTAAAATCAAATACATACAATCTCAGTTAATTGTAGACTTTAAATATGTAATAAACTCTAATAATTTAAAATTGTTGTCAAACAGATCTTGCCTTGATGCACATTTGCTTTGGAATCAATAACTCAATTGATTCCCAAGAGGTGAATAAAATTACAGTCATCAATTGTAGTAACATGATTCTCTTTCTATATTTATGTTGCAGCAAATATTTTGATATTATACAAGCCTATACAATTTATATATGTATGTACAAATTCATACACACACACACACATATGTGTATGTGTGTATATATATACATCTAATTTATTTTGTATGAATAAATTTTATAAATTATAGCAAAAACTATCATCAGATTTATGAGTTGGCTGTTGGCCAATACATGTGAACTGAATGAGAATAGCACTCTGGATATCCCTACTGGTAAATTACTTTTGCCAACACAACTGTCCAGCTGATACAGCTCTCCTAGTCAAAAGCTGTATAAATACAAAGGTCATTCATCTTACCAAATCAAAATATTATGAATGGAATATGCAAGAAGGAAAATGATTGATGCTCAATGATCATATCTCATAAAAACACTGAATAGGAGTGACTTTCCAGGCTAACCACTACAATCTGCCCTCCTACTCCCATAATCAGGTCTTTTCCTATCACTCCTGCTGATTATGGGCCATCTAGTTTGTACAACTGGAGTAAGAAAGAGTCAGTCAATCAATATTTAATAGTCCTAATTTCAAACAAAGTTTTCCTTTATAAGCCAAAAATATCTATCTACTGGTATTTTGATTTCTCGAGGTACAGGGTATGTTTACTTAAATATTTATCCATCTTAAATTTCCATATTTGGCTACAGGTGATGAGAAACATGAATGGGCTCCATCCATACCCACACTGTGTGAAGCAGTTATATATAATAAAAGACATATGAGTAGCAATTCATGATTCATTGCACAAAGTTGATTTCATAGAAGATTGTTAAAGGATTATACAGCAAGTGTGCCAACTGTTTGAAAGTGTCATCCCTGAGTACATATTCTATAGAAAAAACTAAAGTATCAGAATACAAGGAAATTAAGTTTTTGCTGGGTTGCTGAAGGATGTTTAGGACCAAACCAGAGACGGGCGGACCTGCATTACCACCATTTGTCGACCAACCAGATCTGAAATATCATGGCTGGCATGTACACATAAGGAACTATCTGGCATTGAAATGGGGACTCAAAAGAACTCTTGGCACAGAAAGGAACTCAGTAAAGACTGATTCATTTGCCTCTCAGCATAACCATTATGGCTTGTTGCAGTTTAGGTTCTTACAAGGGTATTTCTTGGATCACATGATCTCACACATCTAGAGGAAATAATGAACAACATAAACAGACCCAAAAAGAGAACCAGCGATCAGACTCTCAAACTTCAGAGGGAAAGTAAGGGTAGATAGGGGTAAGGGGAAGGGATCAACCAAAGGACTT